CGATGTGCGACGGCAATGCAATATTTTCATAGTTTTGGCTGATCACGTTTCTGTTTAAAATGTTTAGAGCACATATAAAGAATGGTAGCTTGTTTTTATTTTAATTTCGGCGGAAGAATGTGGTAACATGTTACCCGACCACCGGACAGGGAAGTTTGAAATTCAACCAGTCCGATACGAAAGTTACCCGTCTCGGGCGTGCGGACGGGCAGGAATTTCCTACACTGGGTATACCTTATTAAAAGGGGGAATAAGTGGTAAAATGTTCAAAATTTTGACAAGTGTGTATTATAATGTTTTACAGATTATTTTGAGTGCCCAATTGGTGTTCGCCAAGGCTGTATATTGAGCCCCTTTTTATTCTCCTTTTTTTATCAACGAGTTGGTAACTGAACTGGAAACAACGGAACAACATGGGACTCAACTTTCCCCGCATGATACGGAATTATTTTGCTTATTATTCGCGGATGATGTAACAATGTTCTCTGATTCAATAGTAGGGTTGCAACGTTTATTTAATAAACTGAATTTATATTGCGAAAAGTGGAAAATAGTAGTAAACATAGAAAAGACAAAGGTTATAGCTTTTAAAAAAATCATGATGGCGGTCATCTAACGAGAAGTGGTACTATGGGGACCACCCGTAAAGTGGTGTCATACTGCAAATATCTAGGTATTGTATTTTCCTGCAGGTTGCAGTGATCTTCGACAACTAACGTTTTGGCCCAACAAGCAAAAAAAAAAAACAATTTATTGCCATCTCAAAAAATACAAGACAAATAGATCCCCTGCCCTATAAAACTTTTTTCAAAATTTTCGATTTAATGGTCTTGCCAATATTAACATACGCGGCAGAGATATGGGGTTTTAGGAAATATGACACTTTAGAGCGAGTCCAGTATTATGCATGCAGACGATTTCTAGGCATTTCAAACAGAGCTCCGAATAATAGTGTTTAGGGTGAATGTGGGAGATATCCCATTTACTTTTATACAGCAAAGCGGTGTGTGAATTACTAGGCGATATTGGCCAATATGCCATCTTCCAGGTATCCACGCAAATGTTACAATATGTTGTATAACATAGAAGAGTCAGGGTTCAGCTCAACGAAAACATGGGTAGCTGAAGTGAAAAACTTGTTATTTCTATGTAACTTAGATGAAATGTGGCATGCCCAGGAGGTTAAAAATATCAATATATTTATGGATGTTTTTTGCGAACGATTCAAATATTTCTTGCATCGTGAATGGGTTGGGGACATATGTACAATGAATAAATTAGAAACTTACAGAGAATTCAAAACTACAATTACACCCGAGCATTATATATTTCAGTTAATATCTTTAAACATAGAAGCTATTTAAAATATCAAGATTCCGTTGCTCAGCCCATTGTTTGCTTATTGAAGCTAACCGAGGAAAAACGGAAAGTTTGTACTCTCTGTGACTTGAACCAAATTGAAAATGAATATCATTTTCTTTTAGTCTGTACATTTTTTGCAAATTTCAGAGACAAGTACTTACCGTATTTTTTTTATAATCCACCTAATTTTACTAAGTTCATTGACTTAATGAAACCAGAGATACAATATTTTTGATGCGGCTTGATGAGAACAGCGCCCTCATCGGCCGATGTGCTCATTAAAATGGCTGTCGCAATAATATCGCGGTAATTGGACAGTTTGATGATTTGTTGTTGTCATTTTGGCTCGTTTGGCTCGTTTTTGGCTCGTTTGGTTCGTTTTTGGGTCGTTTCGTAATATGTCTAAGCCCAAAATCAATGTAGTTATGCTTGACAGTGAACTTTGCTAATCTTATACCCAGCTTTAGAACTTTGTGTTTGTTATGTGTATGGTCACAATATACAGCGGCACACACAAGTCAGTGATATGATATTTAACATGCCTGCTGCAATGGCTGTATTTCTCTGTTGTCACTAAACAAGTGAGTATCTGCCAACATTTTCATATGAATAGAATTGAACACCATTCACTGGACAGAATTTAAATTATATTAATGTCCCTGTGGGCACTTTTTAATATTATCATATTTTTCTCTGCAATAGCAGAACCCTAAGGCCAGTGAATGAGATGACTCAATTACATTGTCAAACTTCAAATATGACATACAAAATATATATCACACATTGTCAATGTACTGCCTTATGCATTCAATATTTCTATATGTTATTTCCCCTTTAAGAATGCTGGTCATTTTCTTGTAAGAGTAATTCAAATCTTGTTTGAACACCTCATGTACATTTGTATCAATCTTGTTGACAGAAAATACCTTCAATGAACAGGTTTCATTTGACTTTGGAGTGATCGATCGATCATAACATAGTACAACCATAGAACTAAAGTATTCTTAGTTTCATCGTACAACATAGGTCAATCAGAGCAGATAAAACTGGAGCAACACGTGCATATATTTGAAGGAATTATTAACACTCAAGGGAACCTCGGCTTCTGTTTTTGGTTCTGTGGCACATGAAACGGTACGATATTCCTCCAAACACAACATGAACTTACCCAGTAGGTTACACTCGATATTTAACAGTTCTTTTGACGAGTTTTCATTTTTGTTGGACATTTCATAGATATTGGGAGTGTCCGATCGATCACATCGCGAAACATTACTGGGGGCAGCCATATTGGAAAATCCCTGGCTCGTTTCATGATTGGGAATTAGTGACATATTGATTAGAATAAGCGTGTTTCTAAATATGACAATTCACATGTATATAATGTACTATATTAAATTCACACATTCTTATTATTGTCTCCGTCAATATTATGTTTGTGTTCATAAATACTTAAAATATATTTCCAGTAAAGTTATGTTGCCGGCTGAGGATGATGCGCAGTAGTCGCGATTTCGTATGCGCACGATTACATTATTAGTTCGTTCGTGTATTTCGTGTGCTGTTCTCATTCGCATATTGTTTCTGATTATAGCCAACATACGTTCATTAGAGAAATTGTATGTGTTGCATCACATAGCGCGTACGTAACTCTCACCATTGATCGATTTGGTTTAAAATAATTGAGACAGTCGCAGCAGAGATACATGTACTTATTCTAGTGGAAACAATTGAATACAACTTTTGGAAGGGTAACTCCGTATTAAGTAATACCGAAGCAGACTGCAACAGTTAGCTATGAGTAATGTATTAGCATGTCGTCGACATTTAGTGCAGACGGTTCTTGCACACTGAGACAACGAACTTCCAGTCGAGAGAAATCAGATGACGAGGGCGATGATACGGTGGCGATTAAAACCATGACACTTCCGACTAACGATCCTGTGGATGTTGAAAATCAAAACACGCTAGGATCTCATAAAACTGTTCCGAAAAATGGACACCAGAAAGAAAACGGGTCTATCCCGGACGCAAATGACACTGACGATGCTTTCCTCCAAGAGGAGACACTTAGTACGCCGTTGCTGGGGACCTCAGCTGTCAACGACGTGGGTGACGAAGTGACACACAGGTTGCCAGGTAAAACTGGCACTGAAAGTGTTTGGAGTATATCGTTGCAGGTGTTCTTCCCGTTTTTAATTGCTGGATTTGGTACTGTTGGTGCTGGCATCGTACTTGACATCGTCCAGGTGAGATTCAGTTAATTAATTAATTGGTGTTTTTTATCTGGAAAATCAATCAATCAATCAATGAAATTAACCAAAAATTTCGACGTGTTTTTATTTTTAAAAAGATCATTATGTAGGTAACAATTTCAAACCTGAATTTATTTCAGCATGATTTGTTTCAATTCATTTTGGATTGAAGGTGCTACTCATCCTCTTAATGATTCATTAGCCAGCCTACTTTTCTAAATACTGTGGACAAAAATAAAATGTTGCTGTCTACTTTCTAGAATTTGCCTCCTGGTCAAAATCTTAGAAAAAAAATCCTGCTCCAGAGAGTTATCTTTTTGTGTGAGTGTTAAAAACAACCAGAGAATGGACAAACAATAATAGATCAGTAGAAACCACTATATATGCTTCATTGTGACAAAAGTTGCTGAGTATAGCTTGTTTGGATTTAGTAGAATGAAGTAAATAACCAGTTGGGGAGGGGCACTTATAAATAGCTATTTGCATGAGAACACTGGAGATTGACATTTTTGAATGATCCTAGCCAAATACGTGCGGGGTTGTAAATAACATCCCGATAAGGGTTGCAGGACGAACATATATTTTATGCCATGTTAGTTGCCAAGTTGTCTCTTTGTTGTCCATATTAGACAAATTTATCCATACCCATCCAAATTAACATTGGTGCTTCAATTGACACTGAAATTATTTGGGAAATTGGGATGATTGCTGAATGTTGGCACAGTGAGGAAATGAAAAAAATAATATTTTATTTCATTTCTAATATTAATGTTGCATAATAAATAAATCCAGTCAATATTTGAGATGCACTTTAAATGTATGCTTAAATAAATTGAACTATGTATCATAACAAACTTTAATGGCTGATGCTGTCATTTACAGTGTACAATTTGAATAGTACATTGTGTAGTATGCGATGAGCAAACTACCTGATGTGCATCTTAGTAGTTTATTATTCATGCCAGTTTACTAAAAATAGACGTGATGTATCCAAAAAACATACACATGAATAGATTAACTGCAAACAAAATCTAATTCATACATGGAACATGTTTCAAAATGGTATAAACATTTGACCTTGTTAGATAACAATAACCTTCTCAGTAAAGCATGTTTCTGAAGATGTTTTGTCATGAATGACCTTTCTCACTTTCCTTGGTCTATGAGAAACTACACTGTCTACATTCAAAATGGCATCATCTGTATTGTTGATTAGAAGTCCTCTGCTTTCAACTTTTTAGAGTATTTTTTCCACATTATCTATATATGTGAGATCACTAGCAACTGGGTATTGCTTAATTTTTAATTTCAGTTTGGATTACAATTTAACTAACATGCATGTATAAAAGATAGAGAGACAATACTAACCGGTAACTTGGCTCTTCTATATTTTTACTCAATAGTACATCTGTATATTTATACAGTTTATTTATAGTCTATGTAAGAATTTATAGTCTAAGCTTAGAGCGAGAGAGTCTTCACCTGCTTATGTGTCAGATGGCCATAGCAGGTCATTGTTTACAAACAAACGTCTACCCATGAGCCTTTGCGGTTTTAGCGCATGTTGGTATCGTGGCTTGGGACTCAATTCCCGCGTGTGCGCAGGTAACGACCCTCTCGCTTTAAATACCATAAACAATCTGTAAACACTTTCTTGCAACAGTGTAGCTATTCAAAATAAAACATGCATACGTTTATAGGACTCCTGGCTGTATATTGTTGATTGGTTATTCTGGGTTTTCCCAAGAGGAAAAAATACCATCCAGACATGTATTTTGGAATTCATTTAATTAATCACCGGTAGCCAGTTAATAACTAAAATAATTGATGTGTTGATTAGATTTCATGTGAATGTTTAATTAACATTGTTTTACCATATGTGTTTATGGTATGTATGGTATAGGGCATATGGTGATTGAAACTGACTACAATGGCTACATGTAAATTTGATTAGGGACGACGTCAAAAGATCGATGTCGGATAAAAAACTTATTTCCTTTAGTTTGGGGGTGGGGGGTTTTGACCTCAAAAAGTTTCCATCCTACAAAAACGGTTTTATTTTTTAATGAAGTAAAAAAAATCTTGGAGTATTTGTAGTTCGTTTTTTTCTATCCAATCATGGACAGAAATAACCGAAAAGGAAAAAAAAACACATCCAAGACAAGAAAATGGTTTGGTTCGAGTGTAAATCTGTGCGTCAAATGAGGTGCATTTATAAAATCTTTTTACACCCACCCGACAACCAACTGCTATGCAGTACTACTGTCCAATTATCAATTTGTATTTAATGGTGAATGTAGTCTGACGCCATGACCAATATTTATCAATTAAGTTTTAGTGGGGGGTAGGGGGGTTTGGAAAAAAACTAAAGGAATTAAGTTTTTTATCCGACATCGATCTTTTGACGTCGTCCCTTAGTTGGTGTGTGTTTTTTTCTGGCTAGTATTATCTTGGCATAGAACTGGCACCATAATTAGATATGATTATATGTGAAGTATCTTGATACTATCTCCATGATGATTTATTGGTCTTGATGACTGCCTGTTAATTCTCCATCAATGTAAATGATGCTGCTTGTTATTTTTTGTAGAGGGTTTTAAAGTTTGTATATGTGTCAATCAAACTGATTAATTGCTGTGATTGAGTTGATGTGACACATGGAATAAAGCTTGGCTTGTCTTCACTGACGGTTTATCTTGTCTTGTCTTGACTGACATGATCCTATTGACCCTATGTTAACACATTGCTGGCTGTTGTTCAAAATTCATGTGTGTGTACTGAAAGAAATTTGGCAGTAATACATGTCAACTGTGTTCTAAAGACCACAAGCAGATCATACAATGCATCGTCTAAAATCTGAAGATATCAATGATGTATTTTATTTCATGTTTTTTCTGTTTTTTGTTTTGTTTTGTTTTGTTTTGTTTTACAAAGAAGCAACCCAGGCACATCTATCTAGACTGCTGCCTATGCATAAATCATAAAAACACACACCGGTGGATGCTTTAGATTAAATCAAAACTTTAAGGTACATCCTGAATATACAACCTAACAAATACTGGCGAAAAATTTATCATAATTGTTTCAAAAGTTGATTATTTTCAGATTTTTTCCCAGTACGAAATAATTGTTTGTTTGAAGAATAACTGCCTAAAAAAATATAAAAATGGGCATTTTTTGAAAAATTTAAATAGTAATCATCAAAACGACCTTTTTTGACATATTTTTTTGCAAACCAAATGCCATTTTTATGTTTGACCCGTCTTGTGTGAAAAGTGTTTTGGTGATGATATTTTTTTCTTGGTTTTGTTCATATAATTTTCATTGGTACGTGTTTCATTTTTTTTGTCATTCTTATTTGCATATTTGCTATCTAATTATACGTACCAGTAACTAGTTTTAACATGCTCCAGTTGTTTGAGAATGAAATCAGGAAGGGTGATTGAAAACAAGTATAGACATATTGGAGATTGTCTTTATATGAATAACTATGCATAGCCTTTTAGCAAACTGTGATTCATTATTTATTTATCTGCTATGCCAATTATTTTATTTTTTTTAAATTCAAATCTTCAATTTTAAATTAATTGAGAACTGGTTACAAAATGTACAAATGTACACCACATTGCATTGCTTTCTCTGTTTGTTGAGAATTTTTTATTTAAAGGTAGACTCAAACTCAAAGGTAGATGTATTATGTTTATAGAATAATGTAATCACTGAGTAAAGGTGGTAGTGAAAACTGTCCCATCACATTTGAATATGACATTATATCACACAATTTTACGCAAATATTACATGTACACATCAACATTGCAAATTACACTTGTATAAAAAAAAATAGGTATTTTATAATAATTGGAGCACCAACACAAAATTCTTGTTTGAGGTGGCTGAGGTGGACAAATTAAAATTTTAATTGGCTGCGCTTTTACTTTGCATGTAATGATGATGAAGTGGTGAGCTATGGGTGTCATAGAAGATAACTCATGTCATTGTTGTCCAATCTGAAATATCATTAATGAATTTTTAGGTGCTGCTCAATTTTGGTGTGGCTGGCTCGTATATTTTTGGAGATAGACTAAATTTTAGTGAAAATGTACATTATTCAAGTAGTAGTTTGTAATTAATAAAAATGTATTAATATCCTTTCCATATGTCTGTTCTTGAATGGAAACATGAAACTAACACAAGTGTAATTGGTTGCAATTGGATACTAATAAGTTCAATTTAGCTTACTTTGAAACTTCAAGTTGGGAAACATATACTAAGAACCCTTTATTTTTACCTTGCCTGTATCATTAGATGAAAGTAAAATCTATAGGGGAAAATGTCTGTGTTCCTCATTGAAGTTGATGTCTCCGTCGTAAACTCTTGTTTCTTGTTGTTACAATAACTAAATTTTGGTCTGACTAGCATAATGCTATACTATTTGGGAACTCATGCCCTTCATATTATGTTATTCCATAAGAGACCTTGAGATTAATAAAGTACATGTAAAATTACAAAACTTTTAGATACTCCACAATATACTATTCAATTTATATTACAGATGTCACTTGCACAATAAACATATAACAAGTCTGGCTTTTATTATGTATTATAAATAATTTTTAAGTATTTTCCACCAAAATTGTGTGACAAATTGTGTGAGATATTTTTATGTACCAATACTATTTTGGAAAATTTATATACTTCATTTTATAAGGAACTATGAGATTAATACAGTACGTATTATCTGAAAAACAAAAAGTTTAAATTTAATAAATAATTAGTGATGACCTAATTGTTAAATCTCCAAAACTGGGATTTATAGATTAACCATCCATACCTATATATCTGACATGTCTTGATCAATCATGTTCATATTTGTGTCATGTCACACATATTGTACATACATTCATTTCACAATCCAATTCAAGATGGCCATATGAAGGCAATGTTAGTGCTAAAAACTCAAAATCAAGCATTTCTGCCATTCCGAAACTGGATCT